TTAGAGTTTTATCTTTGTTAAAAATAACGTAACTATATTTCTGTGGATCTATTTCTAGATTTACTCTTTCATCAGTCAGATTGTCTATTCTTGTGCTAATAGTACACTGTCTCAATTACTATAACTTTAAAACAGACCTTGATAACATCAAGAAACTTAATTGTTTTTAAGGTGGTCTTAAGGATTTTTTTCCTTTGCATTTCCATTTTAATTTTAGAAGACTCATTTTTAAAAAAGAAATTGGGATTCTGATTGCTTTAAATCTATAATCTAATATGGCTCACCATAGAATTAACAATGTCTAATATTGAGTGGCTTAATCCATGAAACTGTATGTCTTTTCATTTATGTAAGTCTTATTTAATTTCTTTCCATAATGTTTTAGAGTTTTCAGTGAGGGGTATTATTGACCTCTCATTAGATATGTTCTCACTTTGGCTTTTTTTTTCTTTCTTTCTTTTTTGGTGGTACTAGGGTTTGAACTCAGGGTTTCACACTTGATAGGCAGGAGCTCTGCCACTTGAGCCACTGTACCAGCCTTTTTATTTGCATTGGTTAATTTTTGTGATAGGGGCTCATGAATTGTTTGCCTAGGTTGACTTAGAACCATGATCCTCCTGATCTCTGCTAGGACTATAGGTGCGAGTCACAGGTGCCCAGCACTCTGGCTTTTTTTTTTAAAGGTGTGTTGTATATTCAAAAACTGTTACTTTATTTGTTTGTTGCTGCTATGCTATTGAGTTTTTGATGATAATTAGGTAAAAACCAACATTAATGAATTCTTTTCTGAGATAGATTATCAGTTAGTTCTCTTGGGGTTTCTGATTTACTATTCTTCCAGTCTCTCCTAAGTATTTGATTATAGTATTATAATTTAGGTTAGAAATTCTGTCCTTCCATAATTAACAGTGACAGCTTGGGCATTAATGTCATCCTTCCTACATACTTGGCCATAAATGTGCATTATCTGAAAAAGTCATCTCATGAAACATTCTAATTTCCAAACAGTAAAAATTCTTGATTTGTCTTGAATCACTCATGCCAAAAAAATGACAGGCGTAATTAAGTGTTGACTAATGGAAACTTCTTCAGTCACTAACTGCCTACTCCATGTCAGATCAGGAAGTAAATAACAGGAATAAACTGAGCGATTTCATTAACTCTCTTTCTTGATACTGTTTTTCCAGCAGCTATGGATTAGGTGAATGGGTCAGGTTTACCTTTTCCTTTTAACCTTATATTCCAGCATCCAGCATCTCAGTTCCTTCTATTTTGTCAGAATAATTACAAGTGTACTATCACATAAGCAAACGATAATCTACCTAATTTTAAATCAAAGAAATATTAACTTCCAGCTAGATTAGGGCTAGGATGAAAAGAGCTTAATCATTTGAGATCCTCAGCTCATGGTTTTTCTGTTCCAGTGAGTAGCATATGTCCCTGGAAACACAATGGGAAAAGTATACTTATACTAAAAATTGGGGCAGAAATGGAGGTTTTAGTGTGTCCATTTTAAGGTACCTTAAGAAACCATTAGACACAGAGCATTACAGATACTAGTAGTTATAGGAAAACTGGCATCAACTCTAAGAATAATTCAAATTGCTAAGAAAAGAAAAATGTTAGAAATAGTATAAATGACATGTATTATTGATTTCTAGCTTGGACTTTATGTTTTAGAAGCATCAAGATATTCATAATTTTAATGTTTCTTTCAATGGTGAAATTTAAATACATCTAGGGAAGTCTAAAGAGTTTCTCATTAGTAAAACATGGTTCTTATATGTCTGAGTTATGATAATTTGTATGATACTTAATAGAATTTTAATCTTTTATCATAACAACTACCTTCAGAATCTGAGTAACAAGAGTTAATAGCTAGATTTCCTTTGGACACCCTGCTCTAATATATCACACTCTTTAATTCTGATTAAATTCATAAGTCCTTCACATTAAAAGGTACACACTGGGAAAGCAAAGAAGCTATAAAATAGCTGTTCATAAGAACAGCAGTTATCAAGTAGAAGAGAGAGGCTTCACCTGTCTATCCTAACAAGTAGTCATTTGAGTAAGAATCATTGATGGTCACAGAACTCACTTGAATAAAACTGATATAGAGATAGATATGGTTTAAATTTAATTTACTATGAGTTTGTTTATAAATTGTATTTCAAATTAACTGTGTTCTAGGTAGAATCAAATAGTCTCAGCTTTGGGAAAAAAGCATTCTGTATTAGAAGGTGAAATACATATCACAGTATAAGTGTACATTCAAAGAAACAAAAAAATAATTGTATACAAAATTTGTCTTAACTCATGTATACACTGCTCTCATACTTTTCAGAATTACAGGCCACACTGTTAATTAGTTTGATTAAATATTAAAGCTAAAACATCTACCTTAAATTTAGTTTAAATTCAATTACTGATTCAAATATTTTTTTGTACTTAAGATTACTCTCCTTCTGTGCTTGTTCCTGTTTTATACTGATATACAAGACTATTAAATCCCAGCATTAAACCTGACTAAGTAAATATTCATTTTAAATTAAAAAATGTGAGTGACAGCAATCACTACTACTACATGCTGTCTAAACAAAATTTGGTAAAAGGCCACTGTACCCTAGAATGTCTTGTAAAATACATGAGGATTTCTAGAGCACCACTTCTTATCAACTTTATGAAGGAGTTTAGGAAATTAAAGTTCTAGTTCCTCAGTTCTGCAGCTAAGGCTGTGGGCATGGAGAACAGGGGAGAGTTTAATGGATGAACAGGTAGAACACAAGATGTGCCCAGGGGAGTTGTCCAGGATACAAACAAAAAGTCATTTCTAGACTCTTTCTGTTCAGCTCAGGGATTCTTGGCCACTGTTGTCCTGTTCAACGGAAGTGGCTTGGAGAGTGAAGATGAACCTTGTCTTACGGAGGCAAACCTTGCAACCATGCTGTCAAGGGCAGACTTCCAAACCCCTGAGATTCCTTTATGCACTCAGCATTATTTGTACCTAAGGTCACACACTTTTTAATGTTTTGTTCATCTTTATTTTTTAAATTGAGAAATACCTATATGTGTCTATAAGCACATTTACAATAGGGAAACTCACATATTTCAAGTCTATACCTTAATTGATTTTTACCAGTGTACACACTTGTTAAATCATTAGCCAGTTCTTCACAAGAAGGTCTCTTCATGCCCCTTCCCAGTCAATATGGTTGTGCCATTCTGACTATTAAGTGTGCCTTCAAAATGCCCAGACAGAAAACTTATTGTTTTCATATATTCATGTAAGGTTCATATATAGTCATATGAGGGTTACTTGAATGCAAGCCCTGCAGTATAGCAATAGTTGTTTTGATACCATGGTGGTCTAATGAGTGGGTAGCAAATTCAGCATGGATATGCTAGATAAGGGATGATTTAGGTACTGGAAGGACAAAGCAGTGTGAAATCTCATACCACGCAGAATAGCTAGTTCCTTAGACAAAGAAGAACTATCACAAATGGACTTTTTCTAGCTACCTCTGAGGTTTTGGCAAATATTGTATGCCACATAGTAAGATTAATTTCCCTCAGCTCAATCATGTCTAATGTTATGGAATATTTGTCATCATGCTTTTATTTGTATTCAGAGAGGGACAAAATGACACTTAAACAGTGCATGCAAAATCAAATAAATGAGTAGGAAAATTTAAAACCTTAAAGTCCTTTATAGCTTTCTTTTTCTGCTGCAGAAATGTACTATTATCCTATCTAAAGACCTTTCTTAGAGGCTGCTATGAGAACCTTTTGCATTTCTCTATTTTAAATCTGGAAAAGCACATGTAATATGTACCTAAATGCCTTCTGCCATTAACTTCTAAAACCTTCAGCTCTAACTCTTGATGTGTAAGTTAAATTTTATTAAATAAAATAAATGCTTATACATTATATGTATCTTCATATAATTTCTCTTTTCTTTCATTAATTATTTTTTGACTACCATGAGGAATCTAAATGTTTGAATTGAACAAGTGTATTTTTTTCTTCTGTGAAGCTTCTTTAGTATTCTCATGAGTCAAGGGAAAAGTCTTTATTGCCTTTACAAATCAAAAATAAAACAAATGCTAATTGAGCACACTGATGATTAGATGGAGAAAAATGATGAAAGGAAAGATGCCAACACAAACAGAATATGGCTATTCATTCTACCCCAAATGAATCAACTCCTGCTCATGAATGTGGGTCTAATACTAACTCTGGCAACAAACCACCCAGAGGACCAACCCTCCGAGGAGGTGCATGCCTGCATGCAAACAGCTTTTCCTTAGTCCTCTTGCTAGAAATACAAAGAAGTAATCTCTGCTTTGTAGACACATTCGAATGACTCTTAAATGAAGAACTACAAACAAAGAGCTGCAAGAGATTTTCCCCTAGGCTGAACTCTAAATACTCATTCAAAATTGACAATATTTTTTTTCCTGGCAAAGAAACTAACCAACGAAGTCAAAATCGGCAGGGTCAGCAGGAATTGGCTACTTGCCATCACAGACATAATTCTTGGTATTAGTTGAATCAAAAAAAAGAAAAACTCTTCAGGCCAACTGTACGATTGATGAAGACAGGGAACACTCTGCTCATACTATGAATTAGCTTTTGACTTTGTATGTGTCATTGTCTGTCCAGAAAGTAACAGAGGTTTTTACACAAACAACTTGCTGTTTTGAGCTGTTACTGTTGAGTTTTTTTTCCAATAGATTGATCGATCTAAGGCTTTCCAAATTCTTCCTATTCATAACAAGCATACTTCAGTCAAGGTGTAGAGGATCAGATGGAGCACCCATTATGTGTTAAAGATACCAAAATGAGTCCAAGAACTGGGCTGTTGGTTAAACTGGGCACTAGTATAAATATTCTGTGATAGAAATGCCACATTGAATGAGTCTGTGGAGGGCACAAAGCTCTTTAATTTTAGAAAAGGGGCGAGTGGAACTTAAAAAAAAAAAAAAAAGCAAACCTCTTACCTTTTGTAGCAATTCGTACACACTGGGTTTTAGTTTCCTGGTGAAGTAAAATGAAATAATAAGTAAGTGTATAGGTAATGTTTCCTCTTTCATAAACTGTATTACAAAGAATAATGTGAGGTCATAAAATAGGATTGTTAACTATAGACTTCCAAAAACTAAGTCATTTTGTGATCCTTGATATATAGTCTCAGATTTTTTTCAGAGACCTAAAATGAAAACTTTAAGAAAATTTCTACTACTTTCTAAAGATGTAGGTATCTATTTTTACTTTGTAATAAAACAGGCTAACTTGACAAGAACAAGTAGTATGGTTTTCTACTTGCATTTATTGTTGATCCTTATGCTATCAGAAAGAAAAATGTATCTGCAAAGCTATTATAAATCAAAACCAAATATAAATTTAATTTTTACCTGATAGCTATAGACTCAGACCAAAGATGAACATTATATACTGTCACTTGGACTGCATGACTGAAGAGCTAAATGATGGTAGTTAGAAAGATCATCAAAACATTCCCTACAGCAGTTGAAGTATAATTTATCTGTTCTTTCTTTCCTTTTAAAATACTTGGTAGGAGTTTTCAAGGTAGGTTATTTTCTACTGCTGACAGACAGGGTACAGAGAGTAAAAGCATAAAGAGGAAGTGACAAGAATTGTTTTGTTAATGGGCTGTTTGGTTGTAGTAGAAGACACATGTTCTCACAAGCTAGTTATGGGCCCAGATCTCACTTCTCAAGGACCTAGTTCAGTGTCCATCTTTGACTACACAGTAGGTTACATGAGGTGTCTGAAACAGTAAACAAAACAGAGGATGGAGGGACCACCACTATCTGACTATAATCATCTGGTTGTAGCTGCCATTTTGGCCCTGCAAGGGGAAAATCATTAAGATAGTCATGATACTTTGCCAGTTATTGACACCTGGGCTGGTCTCTATGTCCCTTGCGTCTATGGCAAACAGTTCTCACACTGGGGAGCAGATTTTTTGGGAATAGAATCTATTTATCTGCAAGATGCATTTATAACTCTATCTTGAATAGTTCTACATGTAGATAAGCCAAAATAATTTATAATTTCTTCATAAGCATTTGTTTTGAAATTAAGGCATGGTAGAGGACTTAATGCATAAAAAACAAATCTTGCATTTCTACTATGTGTGAGCTAGACCTTCATAGTAAGCTGCCACAGAACTCTTCACATTCCAATACAGGCCCAAAGGATTCTGACTTCCTAAAAGCAATCTTCGTTGATTCTCTGTAGACGTTACAAGTCTCCGCTGGTGGAAACCACATCAATTTAAAAGCTGTTTATCATAGAGATTATGAAATATATTGTTGATATGCTGAACTCTGATTAAACGACGAGGTAGATATAGTAAATTCATATCAGAGCCTTTAAGGAGTGCCAGAGAAATTAGTCAATAAGTAACAGACACTCATCAGCACTCCTCTCAAACAATCGACAAGTAATAAAAGTTAATTTGGAAATTCTCACCTCTCTAAAGGTGAAAAATGTTAACAGAAAACTGCATCCTACTTCTTTGCTATTTATACCCAGAATGGATTACTAACTTTCCTAGGTTCTCTTGTTTTGACCAGGCCAGTTGTACCAGTGCTTGGGAAGGATGTGAAGGTATATTTGGCCTCTAAAGAATCCCAATTCTATAGAAGGAAACTAGGAGAAGCAAAGAGCATCTGCAACCATGAAGAGCCTCTGGATTAGGAGAATATCTTAGAACATCTGTGGCATTTTTCTTTGCCATACACTGCAAGCCAAACACATTGGTAAGCAGAAAGGTTCAGCTTTCATGTAAAAGCAGCTAACCGATACCCAAGTTCTTATGGACCCTGCAGAAACACAAATGGGTTATGTCTTCCAATTAAACTATTGCATAATATAATATAACTGATGAAATTGGATATCACATATTTCGCACCATCTTCCAGGTGCCCGCCTTAGGGACTCAATTATACAAAACCAGCAATCTCTTTTTCAAAGTCCTTCACAATGTCAGTATTCAACTGGGTTTTAAATTGGGGAAGTTTCTATTCTCTACATTTTTTTCCCCCTATCCTTCTCTGCCACAATATAAATAAATAAATAAATAAATGAAAATAAGTTTTAGGAAAGTAAATCTTTCAAAGGAAACAGCATGAGGTACAAAAGGCCAGGTTGTTTCTCTACATATGGAACCACTGGAAGTTTCTAATGTCCTGTGGTGTTTTCCTCTTCAATATTCATTTGGGATCAGCGGCAGTGTTCGAAAACAACTGTGTCCAAAATGGGAAAAGGAGGGGCAGCCAGGGAAACAGAAAACAGACTTCTGTAATAGCACAGCACCCAGCCATCACGAGGCAGCCTTCTGTTTAGGTTCTGTCAGCTATACCACAGGCGCCCTGTTACTTTGTAATCAGAGGACTGTTACTTGTTATTTACTATTTGGCTTGTACCCCCTGAAAAGTTTATAAGGGCTTATTAGCCTGCTGTGGAACGCACATTCTGTTTATCCTGCAGTAAATTTAATCTTTTGAAGTTTGCCATTACTGGGCATGGGAGGCAGAACAATGCTGGAAATTTACTGAGGGTGGAGTCCTGGCAGCAGCACACCCACCTTTTCAAATCACTTTACTCACAGCTGCCTTTGTGGGCTTTCCTGAAGACAGCTCAAGTAGCAGCAGTTACTAGGAAACAGGGATTCTGTGAAATATAAATGGCATGCTGCCCCAGTGCTTCAGCCAGCCCCACACGATACAGATTGCTGGCAACAGAAACAACACCCCCTACACATCGATTTTCTTTTCCTCTCCTTTTTTATTTTTCTTGATAAATGCTACTGAGTATTTATAAAATATACTGGCTTTTCCTCAGAGCCATGAAAACTCAAATCCTGGAGGAAGCTCACCTTCTCCACACTGCTCATTGCCTGGAAGTAGATGTTGTATCCTTTGCGTGGAGCCAGGGGTGGGTTCCAAAAGCCTTGATACGTCCTATTGTCACCCACTGTGAATGGGGCAGGTTCAGGGAGATTCCCGGGGGGCAGCTCTGCAGCAAAGTAATAGGGCGCACCCCCGCTCATAGCACTTTGGTAGGTGACAGGAACCTGGTAGCACTCCATGGCCCTGGCCTCTCTCTTGGTTCGATGTGGGTGCAGCTCTTCCACAACAATCTGATAAGCACTTTCGGGAAAAGAAAAAGTATGCATTTAGAAATTTGAGATATCAAGACTTTAAAAAAAAAAAAGAAAAAAAGAACAAGGGGTTGAAAATTAACCTGCCATATCTAAAAGTATGAACTCAGTCTTAACCCACTGTGCTCTTGTTTTCAGCTATTTTGCAATAAAATAGAATTTTCCACTCATTCTTCTCCCCATCAGCACCAACAGTTACTTAGGAACTGAGAAAAGTAAGAAAAATCACCATAAAACTGTTCACATTTTCAAAGAATGAGTGTAAGCCACACTAATAAGGACTCTGACATTAACCAGAGTCACATCATAGATGAAGTTCTTTGTCTGATATTTTTAAGTGTTTAAAGTAACCATTTTCTCTTGAAATGATATTATGGAGGGCCCACCTCCAAGGCCCAGAGGAATGACAGCCTCAGGGTGGTACTGGAGCACCAGTCTGCAGTTGTCACAGCCTCAGAGAGAATGTGCTGAAAGGCTTCCCCACCTCTTGACCTTGCCACGGCATCTACATTGGCTCACAGCTATGCAGAGCTCCAGTACAAGTGACATGCGGCAGTGCGGGCACAGATGGACAGAAATCTGTCCTCGCCACTGAAATAGACCGCCTCCTTCTTCTGGAGTTGTTAATAATAAAATGTTACAAATTGTAGAAACAGATGGCATTTGGCCTGTTAAAGCTCTAACCTGAACCTCCTAATGCTTTTCTTAAGCACCTTAAAACTTCTACAAGAGCTATTACTTTACAGAGGAAAGAAAAGAATAATGCAACTTTAAAATAAAGATATCCCTGATCTCTAATACTATTTTTTTGTCAATTTCTTCCTTTGTAGACAACTTCTTAGGTTAAAAAAGATAGGTAAAATATCTAGGAAACTTGACATTATCAATGTATTTTATATATATTTAAAGGACATATATTTTTTAATTGCTGAAAATTGCCAGAAAATGCATTGTGATAGCTTGTATAAATTCAGTATGAATAATCTGTGTGTATGACTGACTGGATGCTGAATCTTGAGAATTTAGGAAAATATGTTCCTTTAATTCCTTCTGCATAGATAAAGCACCTGCTATTCAATGACTGTCCAGCAGGAATATTTTCCTTAACATACCTCACTAATGAGAGAGAGAGACAGACAGAAAACTCAGCTTGCATCTAGGAAAATTAAAATTTATAATTTAGAATAATTTAAATGTAAACTTTGTTATACCTATAAAGACCTTCATAGACTAAGAGAAATGATTAAATTTAGTATATAAAGATTTTCTTTTCTTACTGAATATTAAAGTTCCCATTTTATAAATTAAAATATTGCTAAAATGCTGGGAAAGTTGGTATCTGTCTTCTTACCTCTTGAAAGAGGACAGAATCTGTATTAATACCCCAAATTATAATTTGAGCAAGTAACTAATGCATCAATCTATTTATTTCAAATTCTGTGTATTGGATCATTCGGTACACTCTGCCAGACTAGGTCACTAAGCTGGTGGGAATCATCAAGATGGATGAGCTCTGAGGCATCCATTAAGCAGGCACTTGTTAATTTTAGGTTAGTGAAAACCAGCACGCATGGCCCTAGAGAACGAAGAATGATCACAGTTGATATATGCTATGTGAAGCAAACTGGGTCCATTTTTATTTTATTTTTAATTCATAATCCATATTTATATGTTATATAATTGTGTGTTTTATACATATATACATATAAACTAACATACATATATTCTCCAGACAAATTTAACTTTATATTCTGGCCCCAGTGAACAATAAAGACAATTATCCATTCTTGTTAATACATTAATGTATTTTTAATGTAATCCTTAAAAAACAAATTCTTTGTTAATTATCCCACACCTCTAGAAAATCCAGAAAATATAGTTTACATTCAATTTTAAGTAATTCTATTAAATTGAAATCATTCTACATTTGACGTTAGCATACTTTATGTAAGATAGCTTGTGGCTTTCTAGTTTTTTTAGGAGCAAAGCAAGCTGCTGTGGTGAGGAGGCAGGAGGAAGAAAAGGTGAAATCTACACTTTGGGAAAGAACCTTGTTATTATTCCATAGGAAATAAACATCAACACATTGGATTGAAGTTTCAGATTCACCACTATTCACAATTAAGTGAAAGAGAAATTATTTCAGTTTATAAGTTGAGGGTATGTTTATAAGGTATATAAAGATTATTTCTACCTGTATATACAGATACTCTATTAATATTTACTTTAATCTTGTAATACATCCTCCATTTACTAATATTACTCATTTATTTTTGAGTAGTCATAGGAGAAATGAAATATTTTGTTACTATTGAGGAACTGAGGCAAAGTGAAAATAAGCTCACAATGAAACTTACACCATGAGTGTCATATTATTGTTTTTTTCTTTGTTCAGTACTTTTTATTATTCATTCACTCTCCATACTCATTACTGATATGTTCTGATTTTCTATTCATGATTCAATCTTAGTAGGCTATATGTCCCCAAGGGTTTATCAATTTCTTCTAGATTATCCAACTTGTCATTTAATTGTTCCTGGTAGTTTCTTATGATACTTTGTATTTTTGTGATGTTAGTCATAATTTCTCCTCTATCATTTATAGTTTCATTTATTTGAATTTTCTCTTAGTCTAAGGTTTGTTAATCTTGTTACATTGAGACACCCCAATGAACATCAACTTAAATATTAATAATGAAAACCAAGACTGTAAAATAGGTACGGTGTTACGTGTGTGTGTACTAGTAAGAGTGGGCTAGTAAGGCTATGGTATAGGGTAGATGGACATCATATACGTATATGAAACACTACTAAGAAACCTCTTCCAATAGCTTTAAGTGGGGTAGAGGAAGGGTTGAAAGGAGAGATGATGGAGGCAATGTTAATAATGTACAATGTAAGTCTAATTGAAATTGTCACTATGAATCTCTGCCCCCCCAGTATAATGAATATATCTTGTTTTACATTATACTATTGTGCCCCTCCCCTATTCACACGCTAAAATCCTCACCGCTCCTCCCCCGCCAAAATGTGATCGTATTTGAGGATGCAAACTTTGCAAAGCAATTTGGCTTAGATGAGAGACCCTCAACAAGAACTGAGTCTTCCATTAGGACCTTGATCTTGGACATACCAGCGCTTAGAACTGTGAGAAATAAATGTATTTTGTTTAAACCACCCAGGATTTTGCTATAGCAGCCCAAGCAGACAGAGAAGTATACATTTAAAATGATTTTGGAAGATTGTTTCTGAGAATATTTCCTAAAATACCCTTTGTGCAATGTTTGACATTGGAAAGAAAGCAAGGTGGAGACTGCAACATCTAACCCTACCTCTCTTCCCACTACACCACTTGTCAGGAGAAATGTCTTCATGATGTAACACTCAGCTCAGTTTCTTCATAGTGTCCAACCTCAACTGTGCCTAACTCCACAAGTTGATATAGGAGCCATTAAATTTATATTCAAGTGAGGTTTCAAATAGAATAATGGAGCATTTGTAGAATGAGAAAATTGCTTTTGCTTTCTCTGTTGATGCTTTTACTTAGGATAATTCTAAAGCACTCTTTTTCTTTCTACATGAAAGAAGTGGTTTCAACTCAGAATTTCTGAACACTGTTTGAATAATGAGAATTTCCACAATTAGCTTTCTTCCTGTGACTTTACATCCATTCACCCATTAATTAAATTCATTCAACAATTAGATATTGAACAGATCCATATAGGCGATGAAAGAGCGATGATATAAGGTCTCATGAACCTTATATTTACTTTTCTCTTTTTAAAATTTATAAAGTTCTATGATTGTTAGAATATTTTCTAACTCTCTCAAGTTTGATCAAATTTCAAACTACAAAAACCAAAATATATACTTACAAACTTGTGATTGTCCCCGGTAGGCATTTAAAGTGACTAAGACAGCCACCCAGAAGCAGATTTTCACTTCTCATATTTTTCTTCTCCCTTACACTTGAACCAGGCTGAAATTGACTGGACAATTTCTCTGAAACATACTCTGTTCCAGTTTAAAATCTTGGTTCACACCTGTCTGCTATATGTATTGAATGCCCTAGAAAATGAAAAGTATCTTTCCATATAATAATACTGTTCAAAATTCCCTAGTGGCATTTTACTGTTATTAGTCAGGCACAGTCTTCAATCAGTTCCTAAAGACATAGCACTTTGTGTATCTGTTTCTATGTTTCTTCACGTGTACTGAGAAAGCATGGGTACAATCTGCACATAGATCAACTGTAATTATGGTGACTACTTAAAAAAATGGTTTGTACATTGTAAGAAGTAGTTATAAAAATAATCAAAAGTCACTACAGGGAGAAATCTCATTGAATTCAAGATGGAATTCCAAAGTATGAATGTTCACGGGCAAAAGAAACTGTCTTCCTATCTTTCTTTGATTGTTCAATTTGAGAGGTGTTCTCTAACCACATACTGCCATGTTTTACTTATTTATTTATTTATTTTTGGCAGTACTGGGGATTGAACTCAGGGCCTAACACTTACTAGACCCACCTTTTAAAATCTGTTTTTATCCACATTACCTTCATATTTATCATTATAAAACAGAAAACATGAGAAATCAATTAAGAAGGGATTTGACTAACCACATGAAACTGGCCTGTGCTTTTTCATCCTTATGGTTGTCTAATTATTTAATACTACATTAGAATCCAAATATTATTTGGGATTAGTACTCTAGCAGTTAAATATTTTCCAAAGTCACCATAATATTTTACTTAATCTACCCATATTTCACATATTTTCCATTCTTCTTAAATTTTAAAATGTTACAATGATTAAGTTAAAATCAATATTAGCATTATCAATCTTTACTCAATACTCAAAATGAGATTTCCTTATGTTTAAAAATGACATTTATTATCATAATCAAATTTGATTAAGCAGAGGTAGTAGTCATTTTTAGCTTTTTGGAAGGTCAAATGATGACTTCTTATCATACAATTTCCTTTCAG